CCTTATTTATCATGTTGTTCCATTTTGCAGAACAACCTCACCACATGGTACACCTAGAAAATTAGTTGTTGTAAGGGGAAGACAAAGAGAGTCTAGGTTAACCATGCATCTCATACAATGTTAATTTCTACCTAAATTACTGTGTTAACCTCAGATAAAACAATCCTTGCCGGGAGCCGCACCAGCCTCTCTGGATGACAGTCACGGCAAGGAAATGGCAGTGTTTGCAGCTCCAGCCATTAGAAACGAAAACTGGTATCTCCATCTGCTACTACTGGCTCATGTTGGAAATGAGCCTGCTGGTATTGACCAGGCCTCACAATATTCCATATCAGACCCATATTCTGAACACAGATACCTCATAAGAAAAAGCATTTTCCTGCCTTTAAAAAGAGATTTTAGATGAAAGCTCTTGGATGATTGTCAAAAGGCTCTTCCTATGGGCCTTGCAGATCCAAGAATTAGATCATAAAGGGGGTTAAGAACACAAGAGTTACAATTGAGCCTGGCCCCGAGACAAAGAGCTTAATTTAGTGTTAAGCTACAGATAAGGGCAGAACATAGTTACTACATATATCTTTGCTAATTGGTGATGTATGGCAGTCCCTTCCCCAAGGCCTACTTTCTGCAAACATCCTCCCTTACAGGTGGCTAGGATGAGGATAGGTAAGAGTAGCTAAAACATTACCCACAAACAAAAGGCTGACACACTTAGGGCCTCTATGGTGTTTACACATTCAGCATCAAATAGGTTTTCACAAACAACTCATTCACTAGCTCAAAAACACTGGTCCTCTTGAGAGCCAGACGGAATGACTTTTAGCCCATCTATACACTTAACCTATGACCTAACCTTAGCGTTATTAACTTAGGACAAATATGTATCCTGTCTTTTACTAAGAATACCCTGTTAATTCTTTAGTTATAAGATTTATTTAACCCCACTATAATTGGAATAGTTCTGCAAGAATATTTCTGTAAAACCTGCTTCTGTACAATTTCCAAAGCATCTTATCACAAAGAGTTATCCATTGTAAAAATTCATTTTTCTGATGTCATAACCTATAAATAAAGACACCAAAACCGACAGGACAGAGATGCCTGCCTGGTGATCAGAAAGGATCTCGGGGCTCTCTCACTCTCTCGCCAACACCGTCCATCCTTCAGGGACCCCTGGACCTGTCGGAGCCGGCCTCCGACAAATCCTATTAAAGAGTAGCAAAATATGTAGATTTCATTTATGAAAGAGACAATCAAATATATAGGTAGTAGTTATTAAGAAAATGTGCACATCAGTAATGTCTCCCAATAGGTTATTCTTCCATATTCTTTATGAACTGTAGGCCATTCAATGAGTCAAATTTTTTTCTCAAGTTTAAAATTTAAAGTTATATTTATACAGTTAAAAACTTACTTAATACTATGCTGTCAACCAATGATGAAAAGAAAAATAATATCTTTAGTAACTCTAGTTTCCTTTGTCCTTGAATAATTCAATTGCCTTAAGAATACAAAGCTAAGATACTATAAGTAGAACATAAGTAATGTCACTATTGATATCACCACCAGAAATTAAAAGTTTATTGAATGCTTACTATGTTCAAGGCACTTTGAAGGGAGAAAAGAGTAGAATACAGAACTATAACTATAATTCTAAATGACAAAAATTGGTTTACAATTTTCTTTCTTTTCTTTCTTTCCTTCTTCCTTCCTTCTCTCTTTCTTTTCTCCCTCCCTCCTTCCTTCCTTCCTTCCTTCTTTCTTTCTTTCTTTCTTTCTTTCTTTCTTTCTTTCTTTCTTTCTCTCTTTCTTTCTTTCTCTTCCTTCCTTCCTTCCTTCCTTCCTTCCTTCCTTCCTTCCTTCCTTCCTTCCTTCATTCCTTAAGTCATTTTCCCCTACAAAGAATTACCAATGTAGAAAAGGCAAAATTTTAAATACGAATGCTTTGTTTTATAATAGCTTAAGTTCTTCTTGATTTCTATGGTCAAATCCAAGTCCAAAGCTTATTTCTAACAGAACTGCATCCCACCTTTTTTCTCTCACCCTATACCACACCCAATCTGCAGAGTTATAGAGTAACTGTTAACTCAGGAGACTATTGCACCCTTTGGAACAGTTCCTGATAGATTATCTTAGCTCTGCCACTTAACAGCTAGGCAATTTCAGCCTTTTACCAAAATACTTTGAGCTTCAGATTTCCTGACTATAAACCTTACATAATAAAACTTAATTTACCACTTGTTGTGATAAAATGATACAGTACATTAGTCTTTTGTGAAGCATAAAGTATCATATAAAGGTGCTACAGTATCATGCTGTGCTAAAAGAAGCACAAAAATTCAACAACCACTCCAAAATAATTCTCTCATTAGTCTGCCATGGGACCTAAGAATATACCCCTTTGACTTAAAACTTTAGGTTCCAAGGAGGTTCTCTTTCAATTATAAGCATATCATATCATATATTAAATAATTGCCATAATGGTCTACCAAGGTAACTTGCAGTGGTAGGTCACAGTGAAAAACATTAATGCAATAATAAAAAAGTACTAAAAGGAAACAAACTACTTATACATGCAGCATGAGTAAACTTCACAAATATGTTGAGTGAAAGAAGGGGAAAATTTCATATGATATGATTCTTTTTTTGTGCAATTCTAAAATATGTACAACTAAAAAGAGCAAAAGGGAATTTTCTGGGGTGATGAAAATGTTCTGTCAAAATAGTGGGGATTACACTGATGCATATGTTTTTCACATCTAATTTAAAACAACACTTAAGATCTGATGATTTCACTGTATGTAAATTATAATAGAATTTTTTTTAAAGCCCATGTAAGTGTTATTGTGGTTATTTAAAAATAGTTCTTATGTTTTATGTATACAGGCTGAAATATTTACAGATAAAAGGATATATGTAATTCTTGGGATTTAGTAAAAGATGAGGGGTGATGATAAAAAATGGAAAGTGGTTGAGCATGTAGACGAAACGTGACTAGCCATGCATTGAAAAATGGTGGCAGTTGGGTGATACTCACATGGGAGTCTTTTATTCTCTCTGCTTTTGTTTATGTTTAAACATTTTCCATGATAAAAAGTTGAAAAGAAAGGGGGTCATCTGTATTCATCTCACTTACAAAAGAAAACTGTGAACAGAGGACATAACTTGTTTAAAGTCTCAAAGCCAGACTGGAAACCAGCTCTTTAAGTTTCCTTGTGATCCCAAGGAAACAAAATATGACTGTTTGGAAAGGCTGTTTTTTAAAAAGGCAGACCAATAATGCAAGGACTTGTAATATATATATATGTAACATATGCGCGGGCTTGACAATTTTTGCATTGCTCAACACATTTTCACGTCAACAAATTACACATATAATTTGCTTCCTGTTTCTTTTGGTTTCAAGGGGTTGTTTGTAGATTTAATTGCATTTTACTCAAATTTCAGATAAAATAAAACAAACAACAACAAGAACAAAAAACATACAGCTAAGACTTGTGTGTTTGTGCCCCCCACCCCACCCCCTTCGGTGCTAAAATCATCCTCTCAATTCAGGCAAAAACAGCAAATGGATTCTGTTAGAGGGAGGAGCTTGGTTCTCCATTCTGGTGTGATCCAGGAACAGCTGTTTTCCCTCCAGCTCTGAAAGACGTGAAAATGTGTTAAGCAACGCAAAAATTGTCAAGCCCGCGCGTACATATGCGCGTCTGTGTGCGGGATGGGGTATGTGGGGTGTTAGCTCCGAGGGCAATGCGAATCACATCAGAAAGGTGAGTCGGGTGCAGAAGGGACGAAGAAATTGAATGTGATGGTTCGGGAGAATAAACCACGCTGAATTTGTCTCCTCCATCAAGCACTCGAGTGTGGAGAGTAAATTCCATTTCGAGAACGAAAAACCTTAGGACCGCTTGGTATCGACGTCTGGGGAATATTTATTCCGTATTCCACTGATGGGGGGAAAGAAATCGGCGACTGGCAGCCGCGGATTGGTGGACAAGAAAATGGTGATAGTGGGGTGGAAAGAGGATTTGAAGAGGCTCCGCCTGCCTCAACCTGTAACTCTTCCTTACTAGTTTCCTCTCCATCCGCGGGACCCTCATCACCTGAGGTTAAGAGCAAGGGAAGATCTGAAGGATGTTTGAACAAAAGCATCTTAAACACTGTGTCCTACAGCCGTTAATAAAACATTACAGCGATGCGAGGGAAACGTGCTCTTCCTGGTAGTGCTGGTAAGAGCATCCTTCGCGAGCGGCTTGCCTCCTTCAGGAGCCTCCCCAGAGATGGCTCTGTCTTTGGTGGTCGAGCTCTCCGACCTCCGCTGCCCCAGGCTGGCTCCCCCAGGGGGTCCAGCGAGGAGCCAGCGGGAAAGGCGGAGACAGCGGAGGAGGGGGGAGGGCAAGAGGGAGAAACCTCAGCCTGACAGCTCCCGGTCGCCACAAGAGTCCCTTGATCTTGAACTTGAGGTGAGGCGCAGGACACCGCACCTGCCGCCCCCAGGCGCGGGCTCGCGGCTGGAGGGTGAGGCGCAGCCTCCCCCCGCCCCCATCCCCATCCGAGTGGAGCGAGGTGCACGCGGCCGGGAGGGCGGCGAGCGCCGGGAGAAGGGCGGGGAGAGGCGCTGACAAATCAGCAGCGGGGGCGGTGAGCGGAGGGGAGGGAGGAGGGGAGAAAGGAAGAGGAGGAAGACCGCGACGACGAGAGGGGACCCGAGCGAAAGGGCGAGAGACCCAGCGCGGAGACGCGGGGCGAGGTGCGTGCCGGCGGTAGAGCAGATCCCGGGACCCAGCCGGCCCCGAGCATCCTTCGCGCGCTCCCTCCCTCCCCTTCCGACCTCCGTCTCTTTCTCTCGGATCCAATTGTGCGGGGGACGGGGAGTGGCAATTCGACGACAGGTTCGCGGGCTCGCCTCCCCCGCCCCTAGCCTTTCATCACCAGGGGGTGCTGACCGCAGCCTCCTCTGGGGACTGTCCGCGTCCTGGGGCCGCCTCCTCCCTTTCCGTGCGCCTCTTCTCCTCCCCCTTCCGTTTAAATAACATTGGGGAATTGTTAACAATTTGTTCTTAGGGGCGGGTGGAGAGGAATTGTGGTTCTGAGGATCAGAGGGATTCAGGTAAGGCTCAATGGATCGGAAGGGGCAGCTTTGGAAATGCTGGGGAAACGGGGAGGAGAGGAGTCGTGGACTGGGAGGGGGTGGGGAGTTGGTGCGGCAAGGAGGACCCTCTGTGTCAAGTGTCTACAGTGAGCTTGACGAAAGTAAGTTGACCTCTCGCTTCCGACATTCTGCTCTTCTTGTCCCCAAAGACTGAGAGGTTGGGCTGCTTCTCTGGGATACGCTTTTTCCCGTGGGAGACGCGACGATGCTCGATGGAGCGTGAGGTGCCAACTTTTATTTCTCTGTTACCTTAAATCCCCCACTCCGCCCCCTCAGTCTTCTCGGGGAAGTAATCGAGCTACGTTTGGCACTTGATTAGATGGAAATGCAGGGAAGGCAAGTCAAGTCAACAGGTGGTAAGGGGTTAACAGGTGCGGGTGCCTGGTGGGTGGTGAATTCACGCACGCGGAGAACGCCCCCTCGGGTGGCTGGCTCCAGTCAGGAGACTGTTCCCGGGTGTGCACAGGCGCCTGCTCTGGGTAGATAGCTGGGGGCGGGCGTGGATGGTCGGGTGGATTAGAGCGCAGGGGAGGGTGGGCGCACTGTGGGCCCGAGGTTGAGCCACACCCAGGGCATGTAGGTCTCTTCCCTCCCTTCTCCAGGATCGACCAGTTAGCCCTCTTCTGGAATTCATTTTAAGACTGTCCCTGACCCCATACCTCTAGCTTCTTTTCATTTTCTTTTCCTGTGACCTTTTAACCATACTTCTCATTTTTATTTGTTTTTAATTTTTAATGTTTATTTCTGAGAGAGAATGTGAGTGGGGGAGGGGCAGAGAGAGAGAGGAAGACAGAATCCGAAGCAGGCTCCAGGCTCTGAGCTGTGAGCACAGAGCCCTAAGCCCTGGGCTCGAACTCAGGAATCCACAATCTGTGAGCTCATGACTTGAGCGGAAGTCACAGGCTTAACGGATTGAGCCACCCAAGTGCACCTTAGCCGTACTTCTAATTTACCTTGTCACCGTTTGGACTCGGGAAAGTTCAAAGAGGGGTCCATCTTTTCAGGCAACTACAGTTCGAGAATACAGTAAGCACAACTCAGATGATTCATCTTATTCCATGCTTAGGCAGCTAGACTTTTGCTAGCCAAGATGGATGAGGAATGCTAAATTTTTAATGCAAAAGCTAAAAAAAAAATAGGCTTGCTTCCCCCCACCCCCCACCCCCCCCAGTGGTTGAAATAAGAGTATACTTAAAAGTGTCTCACACACTTTTGGGAGTGATACTGATCTTTCTGTGGTTTTTACCTTGGGTGGTTCTAATTTTATTTTATTCTACCCACAAGTTCTCACTGAAATTATATCTTGTATTCTCCAGTGTGGTGTAAAGGAATTCATTAGCCATGGATGTATTCATGAAAGGACTTTCAAAGGCCAAGGAGGGAGTCGTGGCTGCAGCTGAAAAAACCAAACAGGGTGTGGCAGAAGCGGCAGGAAAGACAAAAGAGGGTGTTCTCTATGTAGGTAGGTAACCCCCAAATGTCATCTTGATATTTATTTATGACTGGTGGGTTAGGATGATCGATGCTCTAAAGGCTGGTACTTCTTGCTTGATTCATTTTTGCATCATCACTTGTCGAAAGGATAAACTGAGTCAGGGAACTGTGTGAGTAGATAAATGTGTATGTTTAGAGCTAATTAAAAAAGTGAGGATAACTTGTTTTTTCTGATGATTTCATTTTTTGGTATGAATGCTTTTGTATATGTGACTACATTTCAGAAAAAGTTTGTAAAACTCAGTCTCAGAAATAATTAAGAATATTTTTAAGAACCAAAATCATTCATGGGCCTTTGATTTTTTATCATCATGAGTAATATAGGCAAATTTTAGTGTATTCATATTTGAAAATAAGACTTTTTGATATGGCCCTGGAATATGTAAAAAGAGACCTACTGTGGCCCTAAAAAAAGAAAAGACAGGAAAGTCTTTGGTACCGTTAATCCTTGTGACTACTTGGTAAACTGAAGATTAATTGCCCAAAAAAATGTGCTTGAAGCCTACTGCTAGTATCTCAGAGACATTTATACAATACATTTATCAAATGACACACATACTAAATAATGAGATGGATGCTTATCATTTTTACTTGTTCCAAATCACCACTTTGTAGTATTCATGTAGATGCTGACACTCTTTTTCTTATCTTGAACTGTGTTTGTTTGGGTGTTATTTTACAAATCCCTTCAGATTTTTTGGGAAAGGAATAGACACATACATAGAAAAACACTCATCCACAGGGACACAGACACACAGGCACACAGTCACCTTCTGCCCGTCCTGCCTCTCCTCTTACTCTTCTGCTCCCCTGAGCCCTTCCAGTCTCTGGTGGCAGCTGTAGAGGCTGTAGCACAGGGTATGCAGTAAGGTGGAGGGTAATGTACTGGGGGGCATAGGGCGCTATGCCTATGTCTGTGGGTGAAAGACAGCTATCTCGTCTCTCCAACATGGATGCACTGAAGAAGAGTTATGAACCTTTTTATACTTTTTATGAATCTTCTCATACTATTTTTTTCTCACTGCCCATAGACTCAATATTAGCTTGAGTTTACTACAAATCTTCAGTTAAATTCTTCTTCTATCTTAAGACATATTTTCAGAAATTCATTGAAATAAAGAGTGTTACAAGAGAAAAAAATGATGACTTAATTTCACGTGTTTTGGTGAAGTGTGAATTAGATCTTTTTAGATGGAATTTGGAATACTGAATCAGTGATGGGCAGATAACCGATATCTTTCTACTTGTCTTCAATTTTCCAAGTTGTCCAAGTGTACCCTTGCAACTACTTCTATTTCAGTTACTTTATAACTTAGTAACTTTTTTTAAAATATTTTTTTACAAAGCTAGTATTTACTCCATTAGTTTGTAGTGAGTTCAGGAACTGTTGAATATTTATTTAATACATTGCTCTCTTCGAGGTAATAAGCAAGCTTTATCACCTGGAAAACTTTATTTTCATTGTCAACCATGAGTTTGCGCAAATAAAATGATTTTATTTTTTAGAGATTAATTCTGTTATTTACTCTGACACTGTAATATGAAATTATAATTAATTTATATGTCACATGTATTTTTAAATCATCTTCAGTATTTATCATGGTATTTAATACATAGTACATTCTATAAATTGTATGTTGGTTGTGTCCTGAAGTATAATTAAAATTTGAACTCAAAAACAGGATTTAGGATGAAAATTGACCATAAGAAGACACAGTATATAGGTCAGGGGTTGGGAAACTTTTCCTGTAAAGTGCTAGATAGTAACTATTTTAGGCCATAAGATTTCTGTGTGAATTAATCAACTCTGCTGTTGTGGTATGAAAGCATCCATAGACAATAATTATCTGTGTTCCAGTAAAATCTTACTATTTAAACAGGTGGTGAGTTGATTTGACCCATAGACTATATAGTTTGCTGACTCCTGGAAAAGTAGAGAGAACATAGACTTGGTGTCAGACAAACCTCACATCTGGTCTGGGCTATGTTGTTTATTGCCTTGAGAAGACTATAAAACTTACTTAACATCTATGAGCTTTACTTTCTTCATTTGTAACAATATGATTTAGGTAAATGCAACTACCTTGCAGAGTTTTTGTGAGAATGTCATAATAAAATAAAACACATGAGTGATAAAGTACACTTAAAAAATAGACTTTTTTTTGTAGTGGTGTAGATTCATAGCAAGATTGAGAGGCAAATAGCAGAGGTTTCTCATGTACCCTTTGCCCCTACACATGCATAGCCTCTCCCATGGTCAACATCCCCCACCAGAGTGGTACATTTATTAAAATTAATGAACTACACTGACACATCATGATCACCCCAAACCTATAGTTTATTTAAAGATTCCCTCCTCGTGTTGTACAGTCTCCGGGTTTGGACAAATGCATAATAAAGTATACCCAGTATTGTAGTATCATCTAGATATTTTAGGTGTCTTAAAAATTGATTGTATATCATTTAGTCATCTCCTTCTACCAACCCCAGGTAACCACTGATATTTTTACTGTCTCCACAATTTTATCATATCCAGAATGTCATATAGCTGGTATGGAGACTGTTAAGATTGGCTTCTTTCTCTTAGTAATATGCATTTAAAGTTCTTCCATGCATTTTCATGGCTTGATAGCTTATTTCCTTTTAGCATTAAATATTAATCCCACTGTCTGGATGTATCACACTTCATCTGTTCACCTACTGAGGGACATCTTGGTTCCTTCCAAATTTTGGCAATTATGAATAAACCTGCTATAAACATCCATGTGTGGGCTTGAGTGCACGTAAGTTTTCAATTCCTATAGGTAAGCACGAAGGATCACTATTGATGGATCATATGATAAGGGTATGTTTAGTTTTTTAAGGAAGTAACAAATTGCCTTCCAAAGTGGCTGGATCATTTTGCATCCCACCAATACTAAATAACAGTTCTTGTTGCTCCACATCCTTGTCAGCATCTCATGTTTCAGTCTTCTAGATTTTGACCAGTCTAAGAGGTATGTAGTCATGTCTGATAGTTTTAGTTTACATTTCCCAGATGATAAATGATGTGGATCATCTTTTTATAAGCTTATTTGTCATCTATACATATTCCTTGGGAAGGTATCTGTTAAGATCTTTGGTCTAGTTTTTAATCTGGTTGTTTGTTTTCTTACTGAGTTTTAAGAATCCTCTATTGGATTGTAGTTCCTTTTCAGACGTATCTTCTGCAGATATTTTCTCCTGGTCTATAGCTTTCCTCACTCTTGACTCTTTCATGGAGCTGAAATTTTTAGTTTTTAAGGAAGTTCAGCTTATTGATTCCTTATTTCATGGCTTGTGATTTTGGTCTTTTATCTACAAGTCATTGGAATACCCAAGGTCATGTAGGTTTACTCCTATGTTATTTCTAGGAGTTTTATAGTTTTGTTTTACATTTAGGTCTATGACCTTTATTGCATTAAATTTTTTTTGTGAAGAGTGTAAAGTTGGTGTCTAGACTCCTGTCCTCCCTTTCCCCCCTCCTCCTCTTCCTTCTCCTAATTCTTTTCCTATTCCTTTTTTTCTCCTCTTCTTCCTTCTCCTCCTCCTCCTTATGCATGTGGATGTTCAGTTGTTCCAGCACCATTTGTTAAAAAGACTGTCTTTGCTTTATTGTATTGGTTTTGTTCCTTTGTCAAAAATCAGTTGCCTATATTTATGTGGTTGTATTTACAGGCTCTCTATTCTGGTCCATTGATATATTTGTCTATTCTCTTGCTGTTATAACACTGTCTTGATTACTGTAGCTTGAAGGCAAGTAGTGTCAGACCTATGATTTTATTATTTGACTTCAATATTATCTTGGCTATTCTGGGCCTTTTGTCTCTCCACATAAACTTGAGAATCTATTTGTTGATATCTATTAAAAACACTTGGTGATATTTTGATTAAGATTGCACTGAACTATACATCAAGTTTGAAGAACTAAGATTGTATTGGACTATAGATCAAGTTAAGAAGAATTGAGATCTTGACAGTATTGAGTATTCCTATCCATGAACATGGAATATACTTCCTTTTATTGAGTCCTCTGATTTTGTTCATTTGTAGTTTTCCTCATACAAATCTTGTATATATTCTGTTAAAATGTCTACCTAATTATTTCAGGGGTTTTTGGGTGCTAATAAAATTGTATTGTGTTTTTAATTTTCAATTTTAATTGTTCATTGCTGGTATATAGGAAAGTGGTTGACTTTTGTTTATTAACCTTGTATCTTGCAGTCTTACAATAATCACTTAGGGTTTTTTTGGTCATGATTGATTTGTTAGGATTTCCTACATAGACAATCATGTCATCTGTGAATGAAGACAGTTTTATTTCTTCATTCCCAATTTGTATACCTCTTATTTCCTTCTTGTGTCTTGTTACACTAGCTAGGATTTCCAGTATGATGCTTGTCTTGTTCCTGATCTTAGTAGGAAGCTCTAGTTTCTTGCTATGAAATATCATGTTATCTGTAGATTTTTTATAAATCTTTATCAAGTTGAGGATGTTCCCCAGTATTCCTAATTTATCAAAAGTTTTTATCGTAAATAGATGTTGCATTTTGTCAAATGCTTTTTCTGCACCTATTGATATGATCATGTAATTTATCTTTTTTTACCCTGTTAATGTGATGGATTGCTTTAACTAATTTTTGAATATTGAACCAACCTTGTGTACCTGGTGTGAATTCCACTTGGTTGTGAAGTATAATTCTTATTGCACATTGCTAGATTTGATTTGTTAATATTTTGTTGAGGATTTTTGTAAAGCACACTTTTATATAGGAGCCATGGTTATTATTATCAAACAAGGTGTTCAACAGAATACTTGCTTTGCCAACATATTTTCTTTTTATCTTTTCATTCTTCATTACAAAACTCATCAATAGCTAGAGTGAAATACTGGAAGTGACTAGAGAAAGTTTTCAATTTCATTATGGCTGAAGATGGTTAGCACACAGTTCTCTTAAGCCTGAGGATGAAAGTACTCTTATTCCTTCATAATATATTTTTATTATATATTTTAACTAAGTGAGGAACTACCTTTTAACCAAGTGAGGAACAACCATAAGAATCAGTACTATTTTATGATTTTTCTTCATTTGTGATATGTTTGTATACAAACATTCAATCAATATAGTTCAATTCAATAAATAACATTTATCTCAATCAAATGGGTCAGAAATTATAAATGCAGAGTCAAATTGAAGAGCAAAAACAAAATTCATTTTCTTCATGTAATGCCAAGTATTATAACTGTAAAGGCAAAATTATCTTCACAACTCTCCCAAAGCCACTTTGCTCAGCAAGCAGCAGTGGTCAGGAGCATGGATTAATATCAAACTCTCAAAACACAATATGCTCCAGCTGCATCAAACTGACAAAGTCAACATAACATGCACAATAGCAGTATAGTTGAGTTCTTGCAACTCCTATGCATTACTTTCAACCTTCTCTATGCTGTACCTTGTGAAGTCATGAGAGATAAGATGGGATAGCTGTGGTTACCTCATCCCATGGAAGCCATCAGCACTGGTCTCTCTTCAAGTTACTAGTCACGTAGCTACTTGGTATCTACTTTGTAGCTATAGATTTTCAATGACGATTACTCATCCATGAAATGTTAGTTATTAATTACACATACTAACAAAGAATTGACAGCAAACAACAGGTGATAAGTTTGATGTGAAGCAACTTCATTAAGACTCTCATTTATCTTTGAATCAGAATACATTCCATGATTTATCCCAAGGTCAAATTCTCAGCTATTACTCAGGCAGAAAGGAAAGACCACAGACCAACTGTTAAATATTTATTTCAAATAGTTGTTTTTAAAAATATAGGGTACAAGGAGTTAGTAGTAATAAGAAGTATTCTCCTAAATAAAAGGTGTTCTCACCTTGTATAGTTCCGGGATACAAGAAATTTCAGATACCACAGTTAGTTGAATAATACTAGTCCCTCACAACACAGGTGGAATTTCTGTTACCACAGTACATAAACTATGATTACATAAAGTACAAACTTTGCTCCTAGCCTTTCAGCCCACAGACTGCTATAATAAATAACAGAGAATCATTATAATCCATAATCAAGTTACATCACTCTTTTCAAAGTTTTTTAGTGACTGGTCATTGTACATCTGCTATTCGGTTCACACAATTGGCAAAGCCACTAGCTGTATTGGTTCTCCCAGTGATAGACCCATGTGATATTTTACAAACACGCATAGTTGAAAAAAAGAAATTGGCCACAAAATATTGAAATGCAGCAAAGAAATAAAGTGAAAATTGCTGGATGTAAAATTTGAAGAAACAATATTTTAATCACACAACAAATAGCTAGCTTTGGGAATACTGACACAGCTACTGTTCAGGAGACTCAATAGATAGTGGAACTTACTCAAGCTGATTGAATAAATGGAAGAAATTGCCATGAATAAGTTGGAGATGTTCCAGAGGAAATGCTACTGCAGAAGTAACCCACATTAGAGGAACTATCAGTGAGAGAGAGCATGATGTTAAAAGGATAACATTTTGGAAACTGATCCAAACTTACAAAGGTGGATGACAATTCTCTAAGACTTAGGAAAGATGCTCACTCCATATAGAAAGTTATACAATGAGAAGACAGCAGCACTGTTTAAACTCCTTTTGATAAGTGTTTTTACAACGAAATGAAACGGTTTAATTCTCAATGTCTTAATCTATAATATTACAATATAAAGATTTGACTAGTTTTTCACTGACCTACAAATTTATAAATGAGTAAGAGAATTTTTAATGTTTTGAAAAAAACATTTAAAGGTCATGGAACAAATGTACTGTTTACTACCAATTAATTGTCATTTCCTTCATTGATATTTAAGACCAGTCTCTACAGCTTCACCTCAGCACGTGTATGCTCACCTTACAATCCCACAGTTCTGTGCAAAGTGAACACTGACACTAAAATATGCACATGTAAACACACGAACACATTGACACATCCTATGATATATATGTAAAATATTATGTTGTATCCTTTTATATATTTAATAACTGCACAATTTCATTTATATGAATTTTTCATTAATGATTTGTCCTATATTTCACCTGAAAATCCCTTTACAAATATTATATGAAAATAATAATAGTGATTTCTTACTATTTGCTATGTATCAAACATAGTTTTAAGAACTTTATATGTATATTTCCTTTATTTTCATGTTTGCCAAATGATGTATATTTGATTATTATGATAAAGATTGTAATGCAAGAAATCTAAATCCAGAACACACATTTAAAATTTTAATTTAATTTATTTTTATTATTTAAATATGTTAACATCCAATGTTACATTAGTCTCAGTTGTAATAGTGATTTGACAATTCTATACATTAGTCAGTGCTCACTGCAGTGAGTACAGCCATCTGTTGCCATACAATATTATTGCAGTAAAGTTGAGTATATTCTCCATGTGGTACTTTTCATCTCTGTGGCTTATTTATTTTATAACTGGAAGAGGTTGTACTTCTTAATCCTTTTCACCTACTTCACTCATCTCCCACCCACCTTCCCTCTGGCATTCACCAGTTCTCTGTATTTATGAGTCTGTTTCTGTTTGTTTGTTTGTTTGTTTTGTTGTTTAGATTCCACAGGTGCAATCATATGGTACTTGTCTTTCTCCATCTGACTTATTTCACTTAATATAATATCCTCTATTGTCCATCCATGTTGTTCCAAATAGCAAGATCTCATTCTTTTTTATGGCTGAGTAGTATTCCATTGTGTGTGTGTATGTATGTATATATAACACACTGTATTTTCTTTATCCATTCATCTATCTGTGGACACTTAGGTTGCCTTCATATCTTGGCTATTAAAATAATGCTACAATAAACATAGGGATGCATATGTCTTTTTGAATTAATGCTTTCATTTTCTTCAGGTGAATATTCAGTAGTGGGATTACTGAGTCATATGGTATTTCCATTTTTAAGTTTTTGAAGAACTTCCATACTGTTTTCCAAAGAGGTTACACCAATTTACATTCCCACCAATAGTGGCCCAAGGATTCCTTTTTCTTCACATCTTTGCCAACATTTCTTTCTTTTTGATACTCACCATTCTGACCAGTGTGAGGTGATATTTCACTGTGGTTTTGATTTGTACTTATGTGATGATTGGTGATGTTGAGCATTTTTTGATGTGTCTGTTAGGCATCAGTATGTCTTTGGAAAAATGTCTATTCAGGCCCTCTATCAATTTTTTAAAAATATTTTATTTCTGAGAGAGACAGTGTGCGTAGGGGAGGGAGGGCCAGTGAGAGGGGGAGACACAGAATCTGAAGCAGACTCCAGGCTCTATGCTAGCTGTCAGCACAGTGCCTGATGCGGGGCTCGAACCCACCAACCATGAGATCATGACCTGAGCCGAAGTCGTACACTTAACTGACTGAGCCACCCAGGCGCCCCCCTCTATCCATTTTTAAATTGGATTATTTGTTGTTTTTGGTGTTGAGGTGTAAAAGTTCTTCATATGTTTTAGATATTAGTCCATTATCAAATATATCCTATGGGAAATCCTCTCCCATTCAGTAGGTTCCCTTTTCATTTTGCTGATGGCTTCCTTTGCTATGCCAAAAGCTTTTTATTTTGGTGTATTCTCCATCATTTGTTTTTGCTTTTGTTAACTACGTCAGAAGACATATGCATAAATATGTTGCTAAGATTGAAGCCCATTTTGAGTTGATTTTTGCATATGGTGTAAGAAAGTGGTTTGGTTTTACTATTTTGCACGTAGCTGTCCAGTTTTCTCATCACCATTTATTGAAGAGACTATCTTTTCCCATTGTATTTTCTTGTCTTCTTTTTCATAGTTTAGTTGACCATGTAAGTCTGGGTTTATTTCTGGGGAAAAACTACATTCTTACCTACAATGCTATAGTTTATTTTATGTTTTATCTTTATTGGAAGTCCTTCAATATATTCAAATTGAAACTTCCTAACTATTTTGAAATGGTTTTATTAAATGTGATACTTTTCTTGACTGTTTAGTAAAATCTAAGTTTAAATATGATGCATCCAAATTTCACTTAATGCCTTTATTGCATATTTTCATAAAAATATTCAGCAAACATTTAGTGAACACCAAGCTATGTATGGAATTGTTGAATCACTATATTGTACACCTGAAACTAATATAACACTGTATGTTAACAAATGGGAATTGAGATAAAAACTTAAAAACAACGTTTTAATTGTGGGTTAAAATTTTAATGAGAGAGAACCTCCTTCTAGCATTGCTTCTTTCTATTTGTTGTGTGATTACCATATTTCCTTGTTTTAGGTGGGTTTTTTTTTACACCTACGGATATCTTTCTATATGAGCTTCTGAAGATTGAGAATTTTCATTAGTTGCATTTAAAGCTAGCTAATCAGCAATATAAGGACAATTTAAGACTTATTTATATTTTAAAATTTGTTTTTATAGGCTCCAAAACCAAGGAAGGAGTGGTTCATGGTGTGACAACAGGTAAGCTCCATGGGGCTTATATTCAAGAATGATGTGGAAACTGGTAAGCATCAATCATTCAGAATGTAATTGTAAACAACCACTGTGGTCATAGAGAAGCATTCTAAGGGAACAACAGCTTTGTTTAACCTTAATTCTTTATTACGTATTTTTAAGTAGGTTAATATTTATTATAAATAAATAAAATGCAATATATTTCACTGTCAAGAATGATGGCTCTGAATTGACCAGATAGGTTTAATTTATGGTAGTAATAGCATTTGAATATTCTGACCAACATAACACTTTGGGAAATGGCTACCATAAATTATGTATAGGAATTGCCATTTTTCAAAGGATTAATGTAAAATTTTCTGTTTAGAGTATAATAAAACATTCTGACATTAAACTATACTCAGTATAATATTTCCTTGATGATTCAGAAAGCGTTTCTGGAAACACCCTTGGAATGATCGGTGAAGTATTTATTGTTTCTGTCTCTATTTGGCATAATTTCATCAAGAATCTGAATAGGTCTATAAGAAAATTGTAATAACTTAATATCAAAAATGATGAAAATGTTGGTGGTAATGATGAGAAGGAAGAGTCTGATAGGGATAGAAATAGAAAAAAATGAAAGGAGAACTGAAGTTTAATAATCGTAAGAGCCCAGAGACTTGCTGTGATTCAGTTTCATGTTGTATGTATTCCAGGCTGCCTGGCAAATGCAGTAAAACAGGGTATATAAATCAGAAATACAATTCATACGACCAGAGAGCAGTAAGTGTAATAGTGTCTCAGAAAGATACCATGTTCCCATTACTGAATTATAAAATGGAAATGGGGAAAATCAAGTGAGAGTATTAATACAGTACTGTGGTTGATACCATAATTCTGGAGCCAGACTTCCATGGTTTAAATTTCTACTTATTGTTTGTGAGTTGTGTGATTTTCTGCAGGAATCATAACTTTTTTGTGATTTAGTTTCCTCATCTATAAAATAATAAAGAGAATTAATGTATATAAACTCCTAGAGTAATGAAGACAAGTAGTGTGTATTATGTAAGTGTTATTTATCCTCACTTTATAATGAGTCTATCTTGAACATTTTACAGATAGTGGAGAAAAATATTTCATATGACTACTTTATACATACTTTTGATAAATAAGTGAGGATGCAAGATTAAAACAGAATGCTTTGAAACTGTTTCTGCTAGAAGGTAAATTAAAGTATGCTGTTTGGGGCGCCTGGGTGGCTCAGTCGATTGAGCATCCGACTTTGACTCAGGTCATGATCTCTCAGTTTGTGGGTTCGAGCCCCATGTGGGGCTCTGTGCTGAAAGCTCTGAGCCTGGAGCCTGCTTCAGATTCTGTGTCACCCTCCCTCTCTGACCCTCCCCTGCTCATGCTGTGTGTGTGTGTCTCTCTCTCAGAAATAAATAAAACATTAAAAAAAAATATGCTGTTTGTATTTGCTGTGTTGGCAATTCAATCAATATGTAATGCCAAGAACTAGGCAAGTAAATAAACTGTATTGACTTGTAGGGACCTTTCCATAAATATGATGTTATTAAGCATGATTTTAATATGACCTGGATAGCGGTGCCTGGGTGGCTCAGTTGGTTAAATGTCCAGCTTCATCTCAGGTCATGATCTCACGGTTTGTGGGTTCGAGCCCCGCATCATATTTGGAAGCTTTGGATTCTGTGTGTCCCCCTCTTTCTGACCCTCCCCTGCTCTCTCTGTCTATCTCTCTCTCTCAGAAATTAAAAAAAAAAAAATGACCTGGATAGCAGACAGTTGGAGACTGTACTATTTGAATGGCATAGTTAGATTAGTGGTGTTCCAATTGATAGTTGAAGAATCCATGTGGTTTATTTATTTATTTATTTTTTTACAAATAGTTTATTGTCAAATTAGTTTCCACATAACACTCAGTGCTCATCCCCAAAGTGCCCTCCTCCATGCCCATCCCCCATCCCCCCTACATCCATCAGTCCTCAGTTTTTGTCAGCATTCAAGAGTCTCTCATGGTTTGCCTCTCTCCTTTTCCCCCACCATTTCCGCCCTTCTTCTCCCCCTTGTTCTTCCGTCAAGTTCCTCCTAATCCTCTTATACGTGCAAACATATGATATTTGTCCTTCTCTGCCTGACTTATTTCGCTCAGCATAACACCCTCAAGGTCCATCCATGTTGCTACACATGGCCAGATTTCATTGTTTCTCATTGCCATGTAGTATTCCATGGTATAGATAAACCACATCTTCTTGATCCATTCATCTGTTGATGGACACTTAGGCTCTTTCCATGTTTTAGCTATTGTGGAGAGTGCTCCTATGAACATTGGGGTACATGTGTTCCTATGCCTCAGCATTTCTGTATCCCTTCGGTAAATTCCTAGCAGTGCTATTGCTGGGTCATAGGGGAGTTCTATTGTTAGTTTCCTGAGGAACCTCCACACTGTTTTCCAGAGGGGCTGTACCCGTTTACATTCCCACCAACAGTGTAGGAGGGTGCCTGTTTCTCCACATCCTCGCCAGCATCTAGAGTTCTCTGATTTGCTCATTTTAGCCACTCTGACTGGTGTGAGGTGGTATCTCAGTGTGGTTTTGATTTGTATTTCCCTGATAAGGAAGGATGCTGAGCATCGTTTCATGTGTCTGTTGGCCATCTGGATGTCCTCTTTGGAGAAGTGTCTGTTCATGTCTTCTGCCCATTTCTTCACTGGGTTGTTTGTTTTTCGGGCGTGTAGTTGAAGAATCCCTGTGGTTTAGAAAGCAGATAAGCAGGTGGCCAAATTTGGAGTCTGTGGTAAAATGAAAGAATACAGCTAATATAAAATCATGTAATGGAGACAATGGAGATGGGCTGCAGGGACAACTGTTAACAAAGCACTTTTATCTTCTCCAGAATGACAGATAGTAAATGGCTGTGTGTGTGTGTGTGTGTGTGTGTGTGTGTGTTACTGAAGTTTGTACAATAAGGCAATATTTTGTTTCTGAAGAGCAGTAGCCTGCTACCTTATGATTCTCTGATTTTATAATATTGAGAAGTTTTTGTATCATGTCTTTGACATACTGAGGAATCTGAGATGACACATAGGAAAGATGTTTTCATAATTTAGTTTAATCTAGGGCTTCTCAAATGAATGTGACCTTATTTAAATTGTTACTATAATTGAATGAAACCAGTGTTCCACACAAAACTATGGAAAATGCTGCTAAGCAGCAAGGCCATGATAATTTTGATATGGGTGATATTTACAACCATTGTACTAATCAACTGCCCTGGCAATAGTAAAATATTAAAAAAATGTCATAGGTAGTCTGACCAGGAGAAATGCATTGGGATAAATCTGTAATAAATACCATCCTTCTCACATATCAGGTTGTGAATCAGATTATTTAATATAAAATCCAAATTCCAAGTATAAGGATAAATAAGACAATTACCTCAATGGTTAAGGAGAAGAATTAGATATTATACTTGGTCTAAAATATTTATCATGGCTACATAATATAAGTGCAAAATCTATTATATAGTATATAACATTATCAGCTGATGTGAAAAGAAAAGTTTCCTTAAGATTCATCCCATTACTTATTTTTGCGGGAATATCAACTTCAATAAACTTACTTAGACCAGGAGTTTTCTACCTAAAAAAAATTTCAAGAAAAATGAATTCCCCTGGTTAGATAATCTCACAAAAAAAAAATCTAAAAATTGCTACCTTAAACCCTAGCTTTTTTATAACAGTTCATTAATGTTGTAGTTGCCAACTGAATACATAATTTTATAGAAAAATATAAGCGTGTATTTAATCTGGACTTACTGAATGACATATCTTTGAAGGTCCTTAAAAAAATAAATGTTATTAGGGCACCTGGGTGGCTTAGTTGGTTAAGCGTCCGACTCTTGATTTCTGCTCAGGTCAGATCTCACACTTTGTGAGTGAGATCCAGCCCCGCATCCAGCTCTGTGCTAATAGTGTGGAATCAGCTTGAGATTCTCTCTCTGCCTCCCTCTCTCTTCCCTTCCCCCACCTGCTCTCTCTGTCTCTGTCTCTGTCTCTCTCTCTCTCAAACTTAATAAACAAACATAAAAATAATATGAATGTTAATAAAACCTTACTTTTTCCCTCATGGAAGTATGGTATAAAGAAATTCCAATTAGTGGAGATTTTCTGAAGGTTTTGATTCTTAGAAACAGAAGTTTATTACATGTTAATGAACACAACCAATTTCAACATGCTTTAATTTAAATTTCCAAATTAAAATGTTTTATGACATAAATTTATTTCCTCAAATATATGATTTGTACTCTTCAAAGCTAGTATTCCTAACTTTTTAATTATGTTTAAAAACAAAGTTTGGATTTACTATATCTATTCAAAAAGTTGGTGCCACATTTCCTTTCTGAAATTTTATTTTTGACTTAAATCTAATTATCAAAGTTAATGAATAAATTACAGAATACACAAAATTTCTCTTAATGCATTCAAAATCATTTATTGAGTATCTGCTGTGAAATAATATGAAGAAAAGTAACAGGATCTCTGATTTTAAAGAACTCCAAATAGACTGGTGGAGGTGGATAGACATAATGGGAAGTGAATAATTCTGGCACAAAGTTCAATAGCAGAGATATATCTAAAACATTAGGAGATCACAGGAGGAGGAACAGGATACCTGTTGGGGATAAGGTTTTTAACGTGGAATTAGACATCTGAGGTGGATTTTAACAGCAGCTTGAATTTCCTGAGTAAATAGACAGGAGATAATAAACTATTTGTAAAAAAAAAAAAATAGACAGGAGATATCTGAAAAGGATCAAAGGTTCTGGCCAGATGAAGCTGTATGAAAGAAATTGGGAAAGCTAGGAACATTTGGGGGAAAACATTAAATATTATACTATCAGTTAGTTGGAAGGAAGTATCCATTTTGATCCTGGTTGTGAGGTCTTTTCCCTTAAAAATGAATATTATTTATTAGATGAAAAATGACTAATTTGAATGTGACTCCTTTCCTTTTGTTTTGTCACCCTTTTGTTTGGCATATCAACGAAGAGAGAAACAATGTAAAAGTTCTTAAAGGGGATTTGGGGCTCAAGGTCAGTGGATAATCCACTAGATAAATCAAGTCCAATGACCTCTTTTAAAATGTGTCTATTATTGCTACATTTACACTCTTGTCATTTTGTAATGGAACTAATTTACTTATTCTTACAGTGATAAAACCTGGCCAATTATAATAAAGTACAGAGTGCATTTTATTGTGAAGTTTATGTGCACTAAAAGTAATGTGTATATATATACAAAGCAGAGTCTAGATATTGTGAAAATAACCTCTCATGGCTGGCAGAAAAAATATGAGTCTGTAAAAAGATCATAATTTATTCTTGTCTTTGAGATACTGTAAGAAGAAAGTGTTCATTTTTCAAGCAAAATTTTCTATTCATGTCCTTGGAAAAAAAATGAAATGACAAGTTAAAGCCCAAAATTCACTATTTTTAAAGGATCAACATTCTGGAAATGTTTAAAAACATGAAACCTCCAGTATAGCTTCTCACTGACATTTAAATTGAACTTTGCATTGGGAATAGCCGTTGCTTGTTAAGAGGCATCAACGATATCCCTAGAAGTGGCAGAGGGCAAATATCAAATAACATCTTCTAGGGACTCTTCGTGGTTTTATACTCCCGGCTCAATTCAGTTTTTCCATGCTACCTAGAACTGAAGAGTAAGCATCTGTCCTTACAGACTACCTTACTTCCATGACCTGCTATCCAAAACCCAATTGCTTTGTCCACATTGTTCAGTCGTTGGCCTCCTCCAATGGGTGACATGAAGTCGGTATAATAATCATGTGACTAGCATATCACAACTACCACCTTAACAGCCGACAGTGTAACTCGTCGAATCCCTTGGGATGGGACGTACCTGGAGAGGATGTAAACAAGCATAAAACATAACTTCCCACCCCCCAAAAATGTCTCCATTTTCTTAGGAGAGGGCCTGAGGAAAAATGTCAGTTAAAACCCCAAATTCTTGATATCTGGTGAAAAAGCAGAAAATAAAAAGTTTGTGAGGCAAAAAGAAGGCAAACATTACGTAAATGGAGATAAGAGACACAAGATGTAGACTTTATAAGGGTTACAATTTTTAGATGAAGAGAGATTTTTTTTCCCTATTGACTTTGAGATTAATAAAAGAGAAGAAGCTCTTGTCTTTTGTTTTTTCATAGAACTCCTCATTTCATTGAAACAAACATTTTTATTGGAGTTTCCTTTATTTGGCAATTGCACGGAGGTAATATACAAAGATTAAAAAAACAATTATATCAGATACGGTTTTGGAGAATTTTTGATATGAGATTAAGTCTTTGTTTCTAAACCTAATCACAAACTATTCACACTGTCTTCTCTCAATCTTTAACTTATTTTAAAAAAATCTACTGAATCATCATATTGTATTTTGTTTTATGAAAACAAATTGTAAATTTGCTCACCAAACTTCATTTTCATACTAAATGTCCAGTTCTTTGTTACCATTAAAATTGTTGAAAATAAATCTTTTTATTACAAACTCTTTTTTGACACTTGAAGTTTGATAAAAGGATTAAAATTTCTTCATAACCACACCTTACTCTATTGCTCATTATTTTTGTGGGCTTAAGTTTTTATTTTAATTCCAGTTAGTAAACATACAGTATTATATTAGTCTCGGGTGTACAATATAGTGATTCAATAACTCCATACATCATCTGGTGCTCACCATGACAAGTGCCCGCCTTGATCCCTGTCACCTATTTAACCCATCTCCACCTCATTCCCTCTGGTGACCATCAGTTTGTTCTCTATAATTAAGAATATGTTTCTTTATTTCTCTATCTGTTTTCTTTCCCTTTGCTCATTTGTTTTGTTTATTAAATTTCACGTAGGAGTGAAATAATATGCTTGTCTTGTATGACTTATTTTGCCTAGCATTGTACTCTGTAGCTCCAACCATATTGTTGCAACTGGCAAGATTTCATTTCTTTTTATGTCTGAATAATCTTTCATTCCATCTATTGTATCTTCTTTATCCAGTCATCAATTAATGGACACTTAGTTTGCTTCCATAATGCTGCTATAAACACTGGGGTGCATATATCCCTTAGAGTGAGTGTTTTTGTATTCTCTGAGTAAATATTTAGTAATGTGACTGCTGGATCATAGGGTAGTTCTATTTTTAACTTTTTGAGGAATCACCATCCTGTTTTCCACAGTGGCTGCACCAATTTGTATTCCCACCTAGACTGTATGAGTTTTCCTTTTACTCCATATACTCACCAACATATGTTTCTCGTGTTGTTGATTTTAGCCATTCAGACAGGTATAAGGTGATATCTCGTTGTAGTTTTGATTTACATTTGCCTGATGGTAAGTGATAATGAACATATTTTCATATGTCTGTCAGCCATCTGGATGTCTTTGGAGAAATATCTGTTCATGTCTTCTGCCCAAGTTTTAGTTGGACTACTTGGGTTTTTGGGTGTTGAGTTCTCTATAAGCTCTTTATATATTTTGGATACTAACCCTTTATCATACTTGTCATTTGCAAATATCTTCTACCATTCTATAGGTTGCTTTTTAGTTTTGGTGATTGTTTCCTTCATTTTTTATTTTTCAGAAGCTTTTTTATTTTGATATACTCCCAGTGGCTTAATTTTGCTTTTGTTTCCCTTACCTCAGAAGACATCTAGGAAAACAAGTTTATCTGGCCAATGTCAAAGAAGTTATTGCCAGTGTTCTCTTCTAGGATTTTTATGGTTTTAGGTTTCACATTTAGATGTTTAATCCATTTTGACTTTATTTTTGTGTAAGTGGTCCAGTTTCATTCTTTTGCATGCAGCTATTCGTTTTCTCAATACCATTAGTTGAAGAGATTTTTACACTGGATATTCTTTCCTGTTTTGTCAAATATTAATTGATCATATACTTGTGGGATAGTTCCTGGATTTTCTGTTCTGTTCCATTGATCTAAATGTCTATTTTTGAGCTAGTATCATACTGTTCTGATCACTATAGCTTTGTAATGTAACTTGAGGTCTAGAATTATGATGCCTCCAGCTTTGCTTTTCTTTTTCAGGGTCATTTTAGCTGTTTGAAGTCTGTTGTGGTTCTATTCAAATTTTGGAATTGTTTGTTCTGCTTTTGTGAAAAATACTGTTAGTATTTTGAAGAGATTGCATCACACTGCTTTGGGTAGTATAGACCTTTTAACAATATCTGTTCTTCCAATCCATGATCATGGAAAGTCTTTCCATTTCCTTGTGTTGTCTTCTGTTTCTTTCATCAATGTTTTATAGTTTACAGAATACGGGTCTGTCACCTCTTTGGTTAGGTTTTTTCCTATGTATCTTAGTATTTTTGGTACAATTGTAAATGGGATTGTTTTTTCAATTTCTCTTTCTGTTGTTTCGTTATTGGTATATAGAAATGTATCAGATTTCTCTAGATTTGTTTTGTATTCTGTGACGTTACTGAATTCCTTTATCAGTTCTAGTAGTCTTCTGGTGGAGCCTTTTTTATTTTCTATAGATAGTATCATGTCATCTATAATGTTCATTTCAGAGGGAAAATGAGCACGTATGTATTGTGTGACGCAGAAGATATGCTGAAAATGGATGTGCTGGGTGAGATTAAAGAATTGGAATTGAAATTGAAATAAAGAAATAATTACTTCATACCACAATAGCTGCACCTTAATCATTGTTTTCCATAAACTTTCCTTAATAAAATGTTAACCAAACCTCAATTGCTCAAAGGCTTTCAATATGTGATCATTACACTTGAAGCACATTTTAATATCTGCATGATTACAGCAACATATCTTAGCAAAGATTTAATGTTTGCCTAAACCACATTCACTTAAAAATTTCCTTAGTTTTATTTCTTCTGACACTGTAGTTATTTATGGCGTGTGTAAATACAGGTCTTTAGAAGTTAACAGCTAGTGGAAGTGAAATTATTGAAGTCCTGGTTGTTCCACTGCCCCTTAATTTGTTGTTCTGGATTTATCCCAGTGGCTGAGAAGACCAAAGAGCAAGTGACAAATGTTGGTGAGGCGGTGGTGACAGGGGTGACAGCAGTCGCACAAAAGACAGTGGAGGGAGCAGGGAGCATCGCAGCTGCCACTGGCTTTGGCAAAAAGGATCAATTGGGCAAGGTATGGTTGCATACATTTTATGTTACATTTGCAAAGTCTCAGGATCACAGTGCCTTCTCATGGAAGGAAGGAATAAGATGCTTACTTGAGGGAGAGCTGACTCACCCTCCTCTTGTAAAAAGAAAAAAAATGTCTACCTTTATGTGTGCATTCTTTTTGGAGACATTAACCCAGATAAATGCCATGAAAATTGTACAGTAATCATGATTGTTACATTTTCTGGAAGAAAGTTAATGAAATGAACAAATGTTATAAATATGAAAAGAACTGTGACATTTCAGAAAGAATGGGTGCTTTCAGGTTGGCTACGAGTCTTGCAATCTCTCTTTGTTGAAACATAACAAATGCTTTGTGCCCAACTGACAGATTTTAAAAATGAAAATCTTTTAGTTGATTTCTTTATCATGACATCATCTCTTATTAAATGGCACATTTGCTTATCGCATAGCAGTTCATTTGCAAATACGTTTGTGGAAACAGAGAGATTTGAATTGTATATCGACCAGAGATTGTGCTTTTGGGGTGATTTTAAAATTCTCAGAACTTTGCATTTCTTGACAAATATGAGACTCTAGTAAGAATATACCAAAGATATTATGACTTTCATTTTAAACAGGTAAGTGATAGAAAATGAGATGTCAACTGGAAGATGAAATTTCATAAATTTTGTGACCACAGCAGCAGACATTTTTGCTATTTCTCTGGCACCGGGGCCTCCTTTCTACTCATTAAACAAACCAAGTACTCCTTTGCCCTGGCTCCTCCCTCTGTCTGCAAAACTCAGCCCCAAGATTATATACTTGATTCACTTCCTCATCTTCTCAGGTTGTCGTTAAATGGTACCTTCTCAGTGAGGCCTACCCTTTACTCTTCGAGGTTGGAACCATTCTCTTCACCTCTGGTATTCCCAGTCTTCCTACTGTTTACTTTCTCCTTTTATACCAGACCATGTGTCACCTTTAACAAAAATAAATAACTTACTTATTTTTTATATATGTTGTTTATTATTTTCTTTGTCCCCTCCTAAAATATAAGCACCATGAGGGTGGAATATATTTATTTTGTTTGGTGATATTTCACAAGTGTCTGTCAGAGTACCTGACACATAGTGGATAAGGAGGAATATTTATGAGGGAGGAAAAGAAGGAAGGAAATAAGTAAATAGGCAAAGTGATTCTTATTTCTGTATCTAATAATTATATGCATAGCATAGCAACTGTGGCTATTCAACTATCTGAAAGTTATAAACAAAGTGATGTTGTAATAGATATTTTGAAAACTATAGGAAAATAGCTTTATTTGCTGGCAAACTACTCTGGGTTATTTCCACTCCATGCAATTCTATGTAGCAGATGGATCTTTAAAACATTGATATTAGAAAGGCAGGACTAAAAACCTGTGACACATTTTAATTTATCACATGTATTATTATCATCTGGGCAATTGATGCTAGTTATGGAAAATCTGGGCTGGACTTCTAGGGAAGTTATTCAGCCTACACTGAAATGTATGGCTAGTGAAAGTAGTGTTCTTTTGTGCGGATTATGTTCTTCAAATAATCATATTACTTGTGCTAATACTTGTACAAATTTCTACTTTCTGTCTCAATTTGTAATTGTATTATAGCTTTAGTACATTTCAAAAGTTAGGAGGGCCTCAGGTATTAGCACAGAGGCAATTAACCTGTTTATTGTCCTAGACTCTTTTGCCAATCTGATAGAAGCTATGTACTCTCTTCTCAGAAATATACACAGTGAATGGCTTAGGGGGATCTTGGAAGCCCATCAATAGACAGAGCCCATGATTTAGACCAATTCTCTGGTTGTGCAGAGGGGGAAAGTGAAATCTACAGAGGCGACGTGAGCAGTCCAAGATCACATGGCCAATTGTAACTGACTGGATACCAGTACTGCTTTCCTATCCACCAGGTCGCTACCCCAATCACTTGCCTTCCTTTTGAGCTTTTATAACTGAATTATGGACAACCAGATTTAACTAGAAAAATTCTGTGCTTCAGAATATTAAGAAACCAGGGAAACATGTACCATCTCCTTCTCACCCCTATCTAAGGCATACAGCGTAAATTGCAAATAAAGCATGAAAGTGCTTCATTTCTTACAAAGTTGGGCTTGTTTTTTACTTTTCTAAAAATATTGCTATTTATCTTAATACTTTAGAAGTATTAGGCAGAAATCTAAATGATATAACAAAATTAACCATTTGGAGATATTTCTCTTATGTGTACTTACAAGTTCTTCCAAATTTTTAATATGAAAATGAAGCCATAAAATCTAGAAATTGCAGCATAGTTATAGAAGAAAAACATTAAACTAAGAATTTAAATAGCTTATTTTCATCCCCACTCTATCACCAGCAGGCTGAATGACCTTTTGAGACTCTCCTAAGAGTCTTTCTCATATAATGAGAAACTATACCAGAAAATTGTTAAAGCTCAATTTAGCAACAATATTCTGAGTTTCTATTATAACTCAAGAAAGATGCTAATAATCTTTCCACTGTGGCTATATCTATGAAATCCCCAAATGCTAGAGAGTTTAGATAAGATCATTCATTTTGCTCATTATGAGATTTGAAGTAATGTAATTTCATCATTCAAACTCTGATCAAAATGATTCTGGTAAACGGAAATAAGTAAATTATCATAGCTTTAACCACTAGTTAATGATTCCATCGACATACTCATTCTTCACTCAAGAAATAATGCTTGCTCACTGTATGTCAGAAACTTTGCTAGACATTGAGGTTAAAATTATGGAAAAACTATACACTGTTTTTTCTCTTCATTAAGCTTACAGTCTAGTGACAAAGATTAATACTCTAATTGCCACACAATATGTATGCAGTCCTAAACTGTGAAATACTATGGAGTACATAGTGCTGAGACCATCCCAGCTAGTATGCAGTAGAGATAAGGGAGAGCATTACAAAGGCTTCCCTGAAGAAGTGATGTTTGTGCTGAGATCTAGAAAAATGACTGGCAACTAATAAGCAAGTGGGCATTGGAGGAAAAAAAAAACATTGCAGGCACAAGTAACAACATGAGGAAATCTCATGTGGGAGGAAGGGACTATGGCAAGTCAAATAGGACTGTTGCTGGAACCACAGAAAATAAGGTAGAAGAAGCTGGAGGGGTGTATGGAGGTCACATCCTGGTTGACCATGTTGAGAATGTTGGTCTTTATTCTAAGAATGAAGGAACCTATTAAAAGCATTTAAGCAAGGATCTCAGCCTATAATTTTGCATGTTGAATAGATGTCTCTACTTGCCAGGCAGGAAGCAGATTAAAGGCAGGGAAGAGTGAAAACCAGAGACATTAGTGGGCTGTGGTGGAAGGAGGAGATGATTGCATATTCTAAGATGTTAGTGGGGGAAGGGAGAGGAATGGATTAATTTAAAGACTATGTAGGAGGTAATATCAACTAGCTTTGGTGGCTAATTCCATGAGGCTTGGGGGAAGAGGGATGTGATCAGCAGGACTTCTGGGCTGTTGAAGTGTATTGTTGGCTGTGCCATTCTCTTGGCAGTTGGTGCCTCTCTTGAATATTAAGAAAACTGCAAAAGGAGTGGCTGTATTGATGTTTAGCCTTCATGCCTTTTGAGGGTATTGGCTCATTACTCCCTGACTAGTGGAACAAATCTTTGTTTTTTTCTTTTCTTTCCTACTTTCCTCTCTCCTTCTTTTCCTCCCCCTCTCCCTTCCATCCTTCCTTCTTTTCTTCATTTCCTCCCTGTGGTGTTTTCTCTTCCTTTTTTTTTAAACCAGAGCCCCAGTAGCTCTTTTTGGTTTTTCTGTTTTTATTTGATAAATTCATTTATTTGAGCATGTTTGCTTCGGTGTACTCATCTCCTTTTGATGTTAACAGAGAGCTATAATGACAGATACCTGAGTATTGTTTTGATTTTGAATTCCATAAATGAAGCAATCTTTAGATCCAATTTCTAATTACGAGACATTAGATTAAAGGACAAATGAGATGTCTTGAATTTTAAGAATTTGCTCTATCAAATATTATTAGCTCCTCTACTGAATATATTAGAATTCTACATCTACTGATCTATATTTTTACCTGTGTGCACATAAGAGGTTATAGCTATTTCATTTCCTAAAACTTATTTGATTGGCATAGTAGAAATAGGCTGCAAGTGCATTGGCAGAGATACTCAAGTTTTAAGTTCATACAAAGAGTGATGGTATATAGGCAAAATTTGTTTCCTACTTCTAATGAGAACAAATTATCTGCTTATACAAGACTATTAGAAACAAACTATCAAGCAAGAGGTTCTGTAGCACATTTATGTTTTCAGTATACAGCTAGTCACTACAACATTTTCTCCATTGTAACCCCTTAACAGTGCTTTGCATGTGGTTACTGCTTAAATCAATCCTTGTTGAACAAATGAGCATTTATTTAATGCTATCTGGATACTCTAGCAGAGCTGGATCCTCAGTGTCCCTAAGGTCTATAATTTTGTAAAATATTTCTTTTTTATTTATAGAGTGAAAATTCTACATATACTATAGAGCTACTGCCTGACAAATAGTACAGCAGCCAGTTTCGTTATCACATGCCATTTAGGCATTGAACTACCTGCATTGAAATTAATAGGTTTCATTCAAGAAATAAGCTTGAAATATTTATAGCCTCAGATACTTGAAATATTCAAGTTCATCTGGGGCTTTTTTTTCCCCATCAGAATCAGAGTGAAGTGCCTAAACAGTGTCATTTAAAAAAAAAATAGATCAGATTTTATTAAGATATTTTTACTGGCCCCAACATAGTTATCTGGAAAATATTGCTTTCCAAATGGGTAGTAGCATTGCATACTCTGTGCTCCTGCCTTAATTCATAAGAAGATAGCTAACCATATGTGTGCTAGAGGAGTAAAACAAAGCAGGTATGAAAAATAACAGACTTGACATCATTTATAACATTTAAGTGCTTCTACTTAACTTCCTTTGACTTAGCAGGGCTACCAT